ATTCAGGAAAAGGGTGCACTGTGCACGCATTAAACACTGGAGAGGTCACGTGGGATAAATCACTTATAAACGCTCAGCTGGAAGAAAAGCTTCAGTGAGAGCTAACAGTTTTTCCAGAACTTAAATCCATAGGGAACCATGGTACATTCATTCTGCACCTCACAAAACCACTGCTTTTATTTTATTGTGGCGTAGATGGGAGGAAAAGATTAATTTAGGCAACACTGAAATAAACCTACCCAACCAAACAACAGCCCTAGGATCCAGTCAATTTAAGTGGATCTGGTGAATCTAGCAGGTTTAGGAACTAGGATAGTCCTAGTTTGTTGTTGGCATCATGTTTGTGACAGAAACCGGCAGTAGCAGGGAGAGTAGAGTAGCACCTGAAATGGGAAAAGGTGCTGAGGAGAGTCAGAGAGCCAGGACACATGATCTATGGGGCAATGTGTGGATCCTGGAGTCTTTTCACATGGCACGAAGGAGACTAAGTGTGTGTGGGGGAATCTAATTGTAGACTTTGGTTATTTGAAGGACAGTTACAAAGACAGTAGAACCAAACTTTTGGTTGTAAAAGATGGTAAGAAAAGGCAGAGGGAATGGTTACAAGTTGTATTTTGGGAAACTCAGGCAGGACATAAGGCAAAATTTCTTCATAAGGTGAGTAGGGCAGCACTGGCACAGGTTACCGAAAGGAATGGTGGTAGTGTGTCATCATGGGAGGTTTCTAAGTCTTGCACGGCAGCCTGTTGGCAGCAGCACTATTCCTAATGGGAGGTTGGACTAGATACCTTCAGAGGTCCCTTCAACCACCATTTCCATTTGACTACAGATATCAGAAGATGATGCAAGGAAACAGCCTGTATGAGCTAAGCTGTAACTTGCACAGTGGCAACTTTTATCTCACCTCAACTTTACCAGAGCATATGTGAACATATTCTTAGTCAGTATTCAATTCTTTCTATAGAAAAATGGTTTTATTCAGGTATTTGTGATTACAATTTGATAAACAGAAATAGCTGAATTTCTTTTGTACCATACTAAACTTGGGTCAGCATCATCTTCTACCTCTTGTGTCAGATCTGTAGCATTTCGCTACAGATTGTTTTCAACCATATTTGGTTATTAGGATGTACAGAGGCATTGTCAGACCATGGATGATTGTCACTGGTTTTCTCTCAAAGTCTTTTTTGCACTGAGATTATTAAAAAAAAAAAAAGTCTTTATATATCTATCTATCTATCTATATATATATGAGTCTTTTGAGGCCTCCAGCAACTTATTTTTCTGGATCATTAATTTCTGCAGTCCATGTACTTCTGTTAACTTTTTGAGGTAATATGTTCAGAACCAGGCAAGTTTTATGATTTCATCAAAACTAAAGTATGCTTAGAGCACACTGGATTATAGCTCAATTAATTTTGCATCTCAATTAAGTGGAAGACAAGTCTTGTCACCAACAAGTCTCTCCTCTGTGTTAAAACTATCCCGCTTCAGAGAATGCAGAGAATGAGAATGACTTACATGAATAGATGAAGACAAGTCCAAGCTCTTGTCTGCACTCCGTCAGATGCAAGCCTGCTTCAACCTGAACCTGTAGCCATGGCAGTGAGATCCTGTGCTGCTGTCTGGCTATTCCCTAGCTACTAGCTTCTCCCTAGCTACTAGCTCAGCAGAGCACATCACATAAATAGAGGAGCTTAGGTACACCTTACTACTATCTAGAAATATCTGATGTGGAACAGTGAGGGAAAAAATGTCAACAAGCTCTCAAAGAAACAAAACATACCTAAGATTGGAATAATTCCGGCAGCAGTCACAGCTCTAGGGAGTGCTTTGCCTGTAAGTTATTGCCTGGTTGGCATGCAGGGGGCACGCAGTACATCTGTCTTGGGCACTAGCCAGCAGACCAGTTTGTAACACTTAACTTCTCTGGCATAGTACTTGCAAGAGGACTGAAAGTGGGAAGTCTGTACACAGGCAGTTTCCTCTTCTGCTTCCACTATTCATCCCACTGTGCTTTGATTCTGATTTTACTGGAGATTTCATTTTCCCTTTACTCTTGATTATAAAAAAACCCCAGGAATTGTTTAAACTCTGTTGGACAGTTAGCTTTATATAAAGATCACACAATGAACAGAGTACATGTGGTAAACAACATGCTTCATTTCCAGGTGGCCTTGAATGAAACACATCATTATCTTTGTGTAATCAGCTCATTACATTAATTTTCTTGCAGAATTGGTCCAGATGACCTCTTGTTTCCCTCCCCTCAGCTGTGCACAACAGGACATCCTAGAAGACTTCTGCCTATGCCATTGATGCAATTTTGTGCTTGTGGTCCTTGTGCAGTACTTCTCTGTTAGAAGAATTAAAAGCTACAGAGATTATCTGAGCGTGCACCTGTATGAAGACAAGCAAATATTTATGGTACCTATAAATACAAAAATTTGATTGTTATGAAAAATCCTGTTGTGTCATCACAAACCTAAACAAATGAAGTGCAAGTGGTACAGCTTGAGAGCTGTGTAAGCTAGGTCAATGGCTCCCAATCGCTCTGTCCTAGAAGGAAAATTAGCAGCATATCACTGGATGCAGCCCTATTCCCCCCCTTCTTCCCAGGGCTGTTGCTGCCTCTTCAAAATCATGTTCTGGAAGCACAGTTTGCAAAGCCCACAGAAATCCTGTGGTTTGCCCATTTGTACTCCACTCTTCACTGCTAATGGTCACAGAACCAATGCTACTGCTTAGACTGGCAGTTCAGGACTCTTGACTCGTTTCTCTTTGTACACGGATGACTTTTTTTTCTGGGTCATTTCCTGTATGTCCATTTCTGGGTCATGGGCTTTTCACTTTCTGGGTGTCTAATACAGAATTAGATCGGGGTGTATTGCACTCACAATGGCATTAGATAACAAGCTTGACTGCAAGTCAGTAACTTGTCAAATTCTCAACTCTGTCACATCTAAACATAAGGTTTCAATGGACTAGGCCCTTCCCATGACTGATTGCTGTCAGTAGTTTTCACCATTTACAACAATTTCAAACTGCAGAGGATAAACAGTATGGCTTCTTGTTCTTGGTCACAGGAACAACTGAATTCTGGAATAAATAACTGCTTGGCATTTGTGATACATTTCTAGGGAACTGAAGACACAAGAAATGAGAACCATGTACTTAAGCCTCGGCCTGCAACATGAAGAAACCAGCTTCATTTGGTTCACGACCATCTAGTTCCCTGAATCTGTCTTCTCTAGGGTTCAGTGCTGAGTGAGTTGGCAGATTTCTGTTTCCCTCTCAGAGTTAAAAACAGAAAGTCTGCCGTCTTGGTGTTAGGGAAACAAATATTCCTTTCCCCACCTTCAGGTGCCACTAAGTGAGCTTTGCTGTTTCCTGAGACTTTGTCAACTTTTTTTTCTGGTCATATTGTAACCTCTCTGCATAATAATATTAGCTCTCTCAGGGCTCAGATGTAAATACACCAGGCCTAGGTTACAGACAGGACACTGGCATGGAATAAGATATTAAAACCCACATCAGATTATTTTAAATTATTGGAGCTCATTGCAGTATTGTATAAGGAATGAATTGCACACATACACACATTCACCTGCTATGAAATATGCAGACCAGACACACTTTCCCCACGAGGAAAAGCTGCCACATACATATTAAATTGGACTTTGATACTGCAGGCAACACCTCTGAAAGTGTCGAACAAATCCTGAACTGCCCATAAGCAACGTAGCCCTGCAGACAACTGCCAGGCTCCTCCACCAGAGCTGGCAGATGGCAGAGGCAGTAGATCCAAAAGAAGCCTGGAGGGAACAGCACAAGGCATGCGGCAGCATTAACAATACATTGAAATAACTAACAGGGAGAAAAAGAAAAGAAAAAAAGCCAGCCCAAAACTGATAGAGATCTTTAATTTAAAAACCAAGTAAGTTTATTCATTGGGAAAGTGCAACAAAATACCCCAGGGACAGTACATTCCACTCCAACAATTAAAACTGCATTAAAAAGCAGATAGGAAGGCCTGAATCTTCAAGAGAATGGGCACACAAGCTAGTGCCTTTCTTTGTTTCAATATATTTATCTTCGGGTGACAGAGATAGTCACTGATTAATTTCTTTTTTTAGGTACTTAATTTACAACTCCATTGCTTCTACTTGCAAGTCATTCTTTTCCTTAAGGATGCTAGCTTGGGACTGCAGGACGAGAATCTGCAGGCACTTAAGAGGGGGCAGTTTTGAAAGGGGGATGCAGGGCTGTCACATACTTACTGTTGGGAGAAGATGGAACTGGGAGTTACTAAATACTCTAAGTAGATATTGCCCCCAATTGTTTCTCTATAAAATTTGAGGTATGCAAAAAAAGTCCAGTTCCACTTGTAAGATCAGTTTCTGCTGCAGCTGACGGAGTGCAAGCAGGCAAAAGGAGAACACAGGACTACAGCAAGCTTACACCATGTGTTGCTCAAAAGAGCTGCTAGTTTCTGATCACCAAATGAATTTTTGCTGTAGATGTAATTCTCTTGGAAATGTAGGTAGGTCTCACACCCATAGCAAACTATTCTCATTCATACTTCTTTATTCACTTCAGCTGAGCTTTACAAGCCCCATAGGATTCTTTAACAGATAGCAATTATGTATCTTTTACTAGCATTTTCTGACCAATGCTTTCGAAATACTTTATGAGCATCACTGAAGCAAGTTTAAAATTCTCTGACATGCAGGTATTTTAAAGGGAACCGAGTACAGTAAACATCTACAACAAAACGGCAACAGAGTTCATCTCCTGAGTCCCAGTCCTGAACCTATCCTTCTTTTCCTTTTAAATTCTTTTTCTCCCCCAACCTATTTCTTACACCAAGAAGGACTACATTTATTCTGCAGAAGTTTATTAATCCCCATACAGAGAAGTGACTTCTAGTATGATTACATTAGTTCCCAATTCCATATGGAGGTTGCCTGTCCAGTCCATGTCAGCATGATCTCCTGGTCTCAGCTGTCTATATTCGGTTTATGTCTCTTGGCTCTGCAGTTCTCCTGATGGTGACTGTCTTCAGAGGGTGCTTGGCCCTTTGCATTTTTCTCTGATTCCTCTGGAAATTTCTGACCCTCAGCCAACACCTGCCGAATAGTCATATTAATGCGGGAAGACTGCAAGTACTTGGCACAGACCTGCCAGTCATCATCAGAGCTGTGCTCAATGACTGAGCCAACAGGAAGGTCTGAAGAAAGTGCTTGGTCCAGGCACGAAGGCAAAGCTGTCCCTTCAGGGTTAGGGAGGACCCGGGGGACAGCATGGTACAGCAGACGGCTGAAGCCAGACATCACCATGATATCTCCACTGTGCATGAACATTGCTGTTGGGGCTTCCTCCCTCTTCAGGCCCCCAAGCAAAAATATTGAGGATTGCCCAAAGCTACAGATTGTGTGAGCATGGAGAGAGAAGAGAAAACAAATTAAGGCAGAGAACAATTATATGTACAGTAAGAAAATATTAGAAGTTAAATTCCTTAGAAAAAACAAAACAAAAAACCAAACCAAACCAAAAACCAACCAACCACCACCACCTTCACAGAATAAAAAACCAGATGGACTCCTAGGAACAACTTTACAATGAGAGCAAGGAAAACAGGCTTAGAAGCCCGGTTCAAGGCAGGCATAGTGTAACCAGTTGCCCTGCCAGCTTTGAAGCTCTGCTGAGGTATTTCATCCTTGCCTGTTAGTATCCAGTTGCCACTCTGCTGCTTTAGAACAGAACTGTGCTCTGTGCAAAGAGCTTTTCCACTCCAGGGGCCACACCCATGCTAGTCAAGCAGTTTTCAGAAAAAAAAAGCCTATGCCCTTGAGCTACAGCTTGCTACTATTCAACTCTTCAGAGTGAACTTTGTATCTTCAATCAGCAAGCTACATCACACGAACTTCGTATAACCATATGCAACTATAGGAAAAAAAGTCACCAATCCTTCCACAACACACTTTGCAAGTACTTTCCTTGACCCACCTGAATGATAAAAGTGGCCGAGAATGGTCTAGTTCAGACTGATCCACATGAATTCCCAGTGAAGAGTCAAAATGATAGTAATTCAAGATCCCTGCTTGGGCTTGGAAACCCTGGAACCCACAGGCTGCAGCCACTTGTTCTGACAGGAATGCAAGGTCTGAGGGGAAAGGAGTGTGGTGTTTTGCTGAGTACTTCTGGAGGAAGGAGAATGGAAAAAAAAAAAAAAAAAAAAAGAAACCACACCCAGAACATCAGAGCAGCAAATACAATTGGAAACAAACATTGAATGAGAACTCAGAAGTCTGGCTGATACATCATGGAGAAGGACATCATACTTGCCTGGAAAATGACTACAACATAGACCGAACTACAACAAGCTTATCTCTTATAATTTAATTCTGGGCCTATGCTGAGACTGACAAAGATTCAATTAATCGTGGAATTAATCATATCTGGATGGAAAACTTGAAGTTAGTAAGATTAGTACCAACATCCTGAGGATCTACTTGGTCACTACCTCAAGCTGCCAATGGAGAGACAGTTCTATATCTCATCAACAGAGCTCTAAAACAAGCATTTTTGTTGCTTCTTTGAAGAATAAGACAAAAAGGAATCAATTGCAAATCTACTTTTTCTCTCTCCTGTGAGTGATTCTGAGAGGAGTGGAAGGGAACAACCAAGTTGTCACTAAGGTCAGGGTAACAGGGTGACGTGGTAAACATCAGGCTGCAAGCAGATTTGGTTAAGTACCTGTAATACACTGATAGACTGCATATCCACCCTGCCATCCTTTCTCAGCCTCCATCTGACTCAGTCTTATGAAAAAGTTTATTTTGGTCTCCACAGTATTCAGGACCCCCAACATAGCTGTTCGTTGGTGAGACTGTACTATACCGGTTCAGACTCAAGTTCAAAGCCACATCAGCAGCAGTCTCTCACCCCTTGGAAGATGAGTAGTTTCTCAGAAGGAGCTGCCTTCAAGCACTCAAGGTCATTCTTACCCTAAGTAGTTAACGACACTTTTGCAACTGTCCCTTTTGGTAGGGTAAAAATACTCACCCTGAAATGGAGTTACAGGTCTAGAGCTGAGTATATGCTACCATGTTACCTTTCAAAGGAAAGAATACAGCAATGGACTTTCGCTGTTAAATCCTCCACAGTAAACTAAAACAGATTAAAATGTTCTTACAAGCATGTATTGTTACAGCCTTCCCTCAAGGCTGTCTTGTAGGATCACAAGGATTTTCCTACATTTTATTCCATTATATCCTATTCTGTCTGCCATTCTGAGTGCTTACAGCTAAGAAAAATGGAGAAGAATTTATTTTCAATACCTTAGTATCCCAATTATAATGGTAACCAAGGGTCACCCAGCGCAGCTTCTCCAATAAGCTTCTTGGCTCCCATTTACTGGAACCTTTCCTTCTGCAAAGCCAAAATGGAAAGAATTAGAATGTGTTAATTTCTGAGGGGTTTTCTGGTAGTGCAACATACAGTAATGAGATTATCTCATCCATATGACAGCCTATTAAAACCATCAATGTTAAACTTTTATTTTCAGTGCCGTTATTTTTTCCTCCAAAGACCTTGAAAATCCAGTTCATGCAATTTGTGCAAGCTGTAGGGCCTGCTGCCAACTGCTGTCTGTTTGAAAACTTCGATTTTCAACACAGTACCTAGCAGGTTATTAGATGGAGACAACAGTGAACTGGTGCAGATTTAGAAATCAGAATTAAGCATGTACTATCTGAGCACCTGAAACTGAAAGAACAGAATCTGTGAAGATCTAAAAGCTGCAAACACAAGGAAAACATATTCTAGGCACTTAAGAAAGGAAAATGCTTCGCCCGACAGTAAACCATACCAAGCTGCATAATACTGCAAAGGGCAATTAGTTCTACTACTTGGTACTTTTATAAGAAGTCCTTAGCACAGCCTGACTCAATGTTCAGTAAGAAACAGGACAGCTTTAGCTATGACCATACACATCTTGTAATGTCAAGAAGTCCAGATTGCAGGTGTCTCCTGTCCAGACTGCTATGCAGGACAAAAACCTGTTCTTCTCAAGTGACAACCCTAATGCAGCGGGACCCAGTGGTCTGAAACCACATGACAATTTACCATTCTTACTTGAAGGTGGTGATGGCAGGAAGAGACCTCAGTGATGGGCTTTTACTATGGCCTATGGAAAAGTCCTTACAACTTACATCAAAGAACATTACTATAGTAATTAAGAGAGAAACATGATAGTGACAAATATGAAAAGAAGGTACGTGTCTTTTAGTCCACTTATTCCAGCAATTTCAGCTTCTTCTCTCAAGCTACATAATGTGTTATGGTAAAGAAAGAAAGAAAAGGGAAATGTACTGAGAACATCAGAATAAACAGTAGCACCAAAAGGCTGGCTCTCATTTACAGTCTCATTAGTTCAGTAAACCATGTTCTCTTTTACAGAGCTGCATTTAATGTGCATTTCTACCTGGATACACAGCTTGCTTCTGTGCTTCACCTATACTGTATTGATAGCTCCTAAGCTAAACCAGAAACAGGAGTAAAAGGCCAGTTTCTCTACCTGTAGTAATTTTTCATAGCTCATTGATTGTTGAAAGAAAGTCATATTTCCAGATTCCATCTTTGTCATAGGGTAATAGCAACTGCAATTACCATAATGCAGCAACACAGTAACTGTCAAATACATGCTGCCTGGAACAATTTATGGAGCCTACAAGCAGGTGACACAGCATTTAGAAAAGAGAGAGCCCACAACTCATTCCTCTACATGTTTCAATCAACAAGCTTAATGTTCATAATTAAACATTTTTAGCACCTGCCTTTTGAAAGTGCCCTTCGACTTTTGCTACAGCACTAGAGTGTTTGCACAACAGCAAGAACCCTAATATGCTTGGTAGAACTTTATTCCCAGAACTTAGTATTTTGCATGTGATTTCACATGTGATTGCTAAGGAGAGAAAAGTATGAGCATTCTGTATCTGGAAACAATAAGTTCCTAGAGCTGTAGCAGCAGGTGCTCCTACAAGAAAGCACAGAGAAATTCTGGTGTAATTATGTTAGCAAAGAGCAAGACTGTATAGCAGGGCTTCTCTGGTCTGAAGCACTCTTTTTCCTTTACTCACTGGTAAATTATTTAATCTATAAAATTATTTTCCCCATCCTTTTCCCTATACACAGGGATATATATACACCTCTTGTAGGGCTGCTCTATCCTCTTTTATGCTTTTAATTGTCCCCGGGACTAAAGAAAATAACCAAACTCCACTTTCTGAAGAGAGAATAGCATACATTTCTAGGAACTGTACAGACTCTCCCTACCTTGTGGTGCCTGCATCCTGAAAAGAGCAGATAAGAGGAAGTGCGATCTGGATGATCAGGTA